TGGGCGCCGAAGGGCGAAACCAGGCCCAGATGCCTACGCCCGGGCGGCGCCTCACGGGTGCCTTGTGCGACCTGTGGGGGCAAAAAAGCACCTGGGGGCCGAAGCGAAGAGGCCGAAGGGGGGGGGGTCAAGAGCGGCAAATGCACCATTTGTGTGCCGCGGACATGGAGAGCGCGCGGGTCAGCAGACCAGACCAGGGGCGGTGCACAGCGAGTGGTGCAACGGAAGGGGCAGGGGGAAAGAGCGGCAGGAACCCAGACCCCCGACGCCGCGATTTCTGTCACAGCGTCGACCCTCAGAGGTCTGGATCCATTCCTGGGGGCAGGCTTTTCATCCTGAATGGTCTTTTGACGGTCCTGGGGCCTGGCGGGGGCCCCGGGAGGCCGAAAAGAACGAAAAATCTCCCGTCGCGATTTCTTCAAAGCGCGAGGGGGTCTGGGGCGGCCGCGGATGGAGGCAGCGGGCGAGGGGGGCAAACTCAGACCACGAAGGTCTTCGTCAGCGTGCTGCGGCCCAGGCTCGCTCGAGGCGGTGAAGGAGGGGCGCCCGCACGCGGCAGCTGCACATGCCGCGGCCCGCGGCGGCGGGGAACGCCGACCTCGTCGCGGCGGGACGCCCGTCCGCGGGGCAAGCGTATAGCAGACCAGAAATCGGCGGAGAGCCCAAGGGGGCAGTGAGAAGGAGCAGGCCCTCTCAGAAGGCGGCGGGGACTTTCAGAGGCCCTCACGACTTACGTCTTCGCGGGGGGCTCAGAGATCTCCTGCGAAGGCCCGAAGCCTTCCGAGCCTTATGTGAAGGCCCGTCCCCTCTGATTTGCCCCCGTGTTCGCCGCCGAAAAGAGGAGCGCAGGCATCACATGTTCCGTCGCAGCGCGGCAGAGGCAGTCCGCACGCACATCCAGGCAACCCGGGCAACGGTGAAGTGAATTGGCCTGCATGCGAGAGGAGGGGAAAAGCTGAGGGGCGGCCGCAGAGACAGGAGGCCGGAGACGAGGGCTCACTCACGCGGCGAGGCCGCGGGGGGGCGCGCGGGGCGGTCAAGCCACAGGGCAGCCCCTGGCAGCGAGCGCGGGGCGGCATGAGCGCAGGTATCACAGGCACCGCGAACCAGAAAGCGAGGACGCCTGGCCAAACGACGCCCAACGGTGCGGATCGCGGCGGCCAGGCCGGCAGAGGAGCGCCCCCTGGTGGCAGGCGGCGGAGCCTCACAGAGCCAGCCGTTGCAGGTCTTGTCACACAGGGCGTGTTCGCCCGATTTCGGGACCATCACAGAGCGATCAGGCTCGGAAAACTGCCGCAGGAAAATGGGGTCCCAGGGCTCCGGTCGTGATTGCTTGCGATGTTGCATATTGTGTCGCAACGTCGGATGTCGAGGGAAGCCCTGGCGATTGACGTTTTGCATGGCCAGGGCCCAGCGGCCAGCCGAGAAGAAGAATAGCGGAGGTGGGGGAAGGCGAGGGAAGCGAGGACACCCGAGAGCGAGTGCGGCGGAAGCAAAACCGCTAACGCGGGCCAAAGTCCCACGGTTGCGGGTGTTCCATCCAGCATGACATGGGCGGCACAGGGAACCAATTCCAAAATCTAGCTCCCTACCTCCATGCAAGTACTACGGGACGCTACAGGAAACCGACTCCATGGTCTAGTTCCCTACCTCCATGCAAGTACGGAAAACCACACGGAACCAATTCCCAGCTCTAGTTCGTTACCTCACGATGGGCACCAGGAACGAGGATCAACTCCACATCGTCCTCCTCCTCCTCCTCCTTCTCCTCCTCCTCCTCCTCCTCCTCCTCCTCTTCCTCCTTCTCCTCCTCCTCCTCCTCCTCCTCCTCCTCCTCGTTCTCCTCATTGTCATCCCCCCCTGGTTCTCCTCCTCCTCCTCCTCCTCCTCCTCCTCCTCCCCTCGTTTTGCTCCTCCTCCTCCCCTCCTCCTCCTCCTCCTCCTCTTCCTCCTTCTCCTCCTCCTCCTCCTCCTCCTCCTCCTCTCCTCGTTATCCTCCTTGTCCTCCTCCCCAACGTGTTCCTTCTCCTCTTCCTCCTCCTCCTCCTCGTTCTCCTCCTTGTCCTCCTCCCCCTCCTCCTCCTCCTCTCCTTCTCCTCCTCCTCCTCCTCCTCCTCCTCCTCCTCCTCCTCCCCCTCATCATCATCATCATCATCATCATCATCATCAGCAGCAGCAGCAGCAGCAGCATCATCATCCTTGTCCTCCTCCTCCTCCTCCTCCTCCTCCTCCTCCTCCTCCTCATCATCATCATCATCATCATCATCATCATCATCATCATCATTATTATTATTATTATCCACATCATCATCATCATCATCATCATCAGCAGCATCATCATCATCATCATCAGCATCATCATCAAGATTAGCATAAACAGTATCATCATCAGCAGCAGTACCATCATCAGCACAATCATCAGAAGTATGATCATCATCACAATTAGTTTCATCATCATGAACATCATCATCAACATCATCACCACCATCGTCATCATCAGGAGGAGTCTCATCATCATAATCAGAATCATCATCAACATCATCATCAGCATCCTCATCATCATCACAATCACCAGCATCATCATCCTCATCACAACCACCGTCGTCGTCATGATCATCGTCAACACAAACACGATCGCAATCATTATCATCATCATCAACATCATCACAACCATCACAACCACCACCACTACCATCATCATCATCCTCATCTTCTCCATCGTCATCATCATCGTCATATTCCTCGTCATAATCATGATCGTCAGCATCATCACAACCACCACCATCATCATCAGCAGCATCAGCATAATCATCCACATCATCACTTTATCATCATCCTGTTAAATCATCAGCATGCTGCCATCATCGTCATCAACATCATGAGCATCATCATCAGCAGCATCATCGTCATCATCATCACCATCACATCATCATCATCATCACCATCATCAGCATCATCATCATCATCATCACTACCGTCATCATCATCATCGTCATCATCACCATCATAAACATCATCATGATTATAATCGTCTACATGAGCCTGCCTCCTCCTCGTCATCCCTCCTATCCTAGTCGTCGCACCTCCTGATTCTATATTCCTCCTCACCCACCCCCAGCGAACAGCCGTCGCGCCCCCACGCTCGCTCCTGGGTGGGGCAGTTGGTGTAGCCGGCGATGGAGACCCCTTTCTGCCTGTCCGGCCCCCAGTGCGGTCGTTGTCGTTCGTCCACCTCTGCTTACCCTTATCCTCCTCCTCCTCCTCGTCCTCCTCGTCCTCGTCGACGTCGTCCGTCGCCGTCGTCCGTCCGTCGTCCATCGTCCGTCGTCGTCGTCGTCATCATCATCATCATCATCATCATCATCATCATCACCACCACCAACACACGCATCAGCATCATCATCATCATCATCATCATCATCAGCATCATCATCATCATCATCATCATCATCATCATCATCATCATCATCATCCCCTCCTGGAGCTCGCACCCTGTTTTTAATAAAGAAGAGTCTTGAAGGTCAAAGTGGACCCCTGGCCCCAAGTTACAACAACAACGGCTCCCGCCAGATACTGCCCTACAATATATTTGGAAATCGCACTCTCGCGCGAGCCATCCGAATGATTTATGCAGGAATCGCGCTCTCGCGTGGTACTTCCTCACGATGTAAAGCGGCGCCGTGCCCCCAAGACTAATCACGCTCTCGCTCTGGATTTCCTAACGATTAACTTGGAAATCGCGCTATCGCTCGAAATGATGGGTTGACGCTTTAAGGACCCACCCGCTCGACCTGGCCGTGTGGGTCCGCCCGCCCGACCTGCCCGTTCGGGTCCACCCGCCCGACACGCCCGTCTAGTTCTGCCGCTTGTGCTCCTGCTCCTAACCCTCCTGCAAATCTCTCGTGCTCCATCCTTCTCCCTCCCCCGTGTCTCTTCACTCCTTTCCTCCTTTCCCTGTTGTATCGGCTGCACAAACCACACGCGGCAGGTAGGGAAGATATATCCCTAAGGGAGGTACGATCGAAGTCGAAGAGGGTGAATACCGAGGGTTTGGGATATGCGTGTTGGATGGCACGCGAGCAGGCAGGAGTGAACAGTCTTAACATGTTTGCTACTGATGTTGTAACGTGGGGGGCCAGGGGTACAGTCTGAGGCCCAAGACTTGCAAAAAACAAAGTGCGAGCCCCGGAAGGGGCACGTCCAATTGAAAAAACTCAGGGTGCACCGACCAGCGGGGATCAACAAGAACTGAAGAACACAACGATCATTATAAGACTGTCCGCATTTATCTGATCGCGTGTCACTCAATATGTATATCCCGAACCCTCGATACCCGCCCTCTTCGACTTCGATCGTAACCCCCTTGGGGGTAGATCATCCTTACCTGCCACGTGTGGTTTGTGCAGCCCCTAAAACAAGGGAAGGGAGGCAGGAGGGAACGGGCAAGAGGGAGGGAGAAGGATGGAGCAGATGAATCGCGAGGAAGTCTCAAGCGATAGCGCGATTCCCAGGTTCATAGTTAAGAGGTCCAGAGAGAGAGCGTGATTCCAGAGTGTCGAGGGCGCGGCGCCTCAATCAAGTACGAGCGAATCCCACGCAAGAGCGAGATTCCTGGGTGAAGTGTGAAAAAGTCCCTCGCGAGAGCGCGATGTTGCATAAAGTGTGAGAAAATGAATGGCGGAACACGTTCTTGTGGTAAGCCATGGGCCCACAACGAAGTCTGAGGCGCAAGACTTCTCCTTCCAAGAAGCTGGGTGCGAGCCCTGGGAGGGCACTTCAATTGAAAAACACAAGATGCACCAGAGGGGAAGAATCAACAATCAATGTTCTTCAAAAATCATCAAAAATCAAAAAGTTCAACCAAACACGATCCTGGAAGGGGCTGCACCCTGTTAAACCGAAGTAGCGCGACGCTAAAGATAGAGCCACATTTTGAAAACGACTCTCCCCCCCTCCATCCTTGAAGCTGTTGAAAATATCAAGCTCCAGGGTCATCAATG